TGCTAACACTCCAGACAAACAGACACAATCATCCTCCTGAGCTAAAGCAACACAGATCAAATGTAGAGAACATCAGGAGCTTCTTAGCAKCGTGACGTCAGAGTGGCGGCTGAAGAAAGCAGGACGCAGGACAGAGAAAGCTTCAGCTGAATATAGGAAACTGTTTCGGCTCGTGTCCAGCAGGGGGCAGCAGCAGCTCTGTCGTGCAGCTGCTGCGCTTCCTCGGGTGGAAGCAGACCGTCTGAACGCACGATGAGCAGAACCTTACTGGTGGTCCTGCTGCCCCCCACCCCCCCACCCCACCTCAGTCTGTGAGGAGGACCAGCTCCCCCTCGCTCCTCTCTCCCACATCGCTTTCCTCCCCCTCGCTGTACGGGGGCCGTGCTCTCTCTCGCTCCCTGGGTTGAGAGGTGGGCGTGGCCTGACCCTCGGCTCTGCGAGCGGTGGGCGGAATCTGTGGCAGGTAATGCTCCAGCAGTGCCGGGTGGAAGGACATGTTGGGGACAGAGATGGAGCCCCCGCTGCCCGGGTACTGGCCCTCGCTCTGGGAGTAGTGGATCTGTGGTTCTGTTTGACTGAGAAGACAGGAAGGAAGTGGATTTACTTTAAACCTCAACCCTGCTGAGCTCCACCATCATCCAGGCATCAACAGTTCTCAATCACTGAGTCTGGACACCTAGACCCTTCTAAAGAAAGTCAGAACTTTCAATAAAGGACTTAATAAAGACTGAAGACCATCAGCAGCAGGAGACCCCTGAGATCCTCAGTGTTCTCTGCTGGTTTTATGACACAATAACTAACAGCTGATAGAATCATGGAGTTTGTTAGATCTGCAGACACTGAGCTGCAGGAGTCAGCTGGATCTTGTTCTAGGTCTGATACAGAAATTCTTGGAGGTACCTGTGTGTGTAGGTGGCTCTCTGCTCCTGTCTGCGGCTCTTCATCATGGCCTTGTACTCGCCCACCCTCAGCCTCCGGCCCTCCACGATGCAGGTCCGTTTCGGTCTGGGCTTGTACTTGTAGTCCGGGTAGCGCTCCAGGTGCTGCCGGCTCAGCCTCGCCTGCTCCTCGTAGTACGGCTGCTTCTCCTGGTTGGACATGGACTTCCACTTCGAACCTGATTGGGGTGTGGGGGGATACTGACATTAAAGAGAGCACCAGGAGTCTACACCTCATCTACTCATGACTGGACTTACAGCTCTTTTCTGTACCATACTTTACACTACAATCTGTGTCCTCATTTCTATAGCTTAACACTGACCCCTTACCCTAACCACCCACCCAAAATCAGCATCCGTACCTGCGGAGACCAGGCTTTGGTCCCCATGAGGAGCATTGGMTCCCCACAAGGCTGTGTTATTCTGGAAATTGGTCCCCATGATGTAGCAAAAACGTGTTCACACACAAATATTCACACTATACTCTACTAGATCTTCCTACAAAGCTAATACAAGTAAATCAATCTGTAGAGACTAATCAGGGTTAAATTAAATTCATACACTGATATACATCAGAAACAATGGGGGTTCAGTGCCTTGCCCAGAGACACTTCGACATGTGACCAAATAGCAGTAGAACTGAACTGCCAAAGCTCGCCTTAGAGGAACGGTTCCCCTAACCACTCAGACACAGCCACCCCATGGAAGGTTTTTGGTCCATTAAAAAAACCCTCAAAAACAGTGACATTTAAAAGTGGGGGACTACCTAATATTAGGTTTAATTTTACAGTATTAACTACTGATAACTAACAGAACATGGTTTATAAAAAACAGACTAACCCTTTATAAAAACTACTATCCCTTTATAAATAATCAGACCAACCCTTTATATATAACCAGACTAACCCCTTATAAATAATCAGACCAACCCTTTATATATAACTACTATCCCTTTATAAATAATCAGACCAACCCTTTATATATGACTACTATCCCTTCATAAATAACAAGATTAGTCTGGCTATTTATAAAGGGTTAGTCTGGTTATTAATAAAGCGTTAGTCTTGTTATGTATAAAGAGTTAGTCAGGTTACTTATAAAGGTTTAGTCTGGTTATCATCTTTGAACAATGCATATTTTTCCAACACCTTTATAAATAACCAGACTAACCCTTTATATATAACCAGACATCCCTTTATAAATAACCAGACTAACCATCTATATGTAACCAGACTAAGCCTTTATATATAACCAGACTATCCCTTTAGATATAACCAGATTAACCATCTATATATAACCAGACTAACCCTTTATAAATAACCAGACTAACCCTTTATAAATAACCAGACTAACCCTTTATAAATAACCAGACTAACCCTTTGTAAATAACCAGACTAACCCTTTGTAAATAACCAGACTATCCCTTTATAAATAACCAGACTAACCATCTATATATAACCAGATTAACCCTTTGTAAATAACCAGACCATCCCTTTATAAATAACCAGACTAACCCGTTATATATAACCAGACTAACCCTTTATATATAACCAGACTAACCCTTTGTAAATAACCAGACTAACCCTTTGTAAATAACCAGACTAACCCTTTATATATAAACAGACTATCCCTTTAAAAATAACCAGACTAGCCATCTATATATAACCAGACTAACCCTTTATATACAACCAGACTAACCCTTTATATACAACCAGACTAACCCTTTATATACAACCAGACTAACCCTTTATATACAACCAGACTAACCCTTTATATATAACCAGACTAACCCTTTATATATAACCAGACTAACCCTTTCTATATAACCAGACTAACCCTTTGTAAATAACCAGACTATCCCTTTATAAATAACCAGACTAACCATCTATATATAACCAGACTAACCCTTTATAAACAACCAGACCATCCCTTTAGCAGAAGCTGAACTGACCCAGGATCTTGCTGATGGAGGAGTTGTGCATGTCTGGGTAGGCCTGCAGGATCCTCCTCCGTTCATCCTTGGCCCACACCATGAAGGCATTCATGGGTCTCTTTATGTGTCCAGAAGAGGAGGAGGAAGGTCGGGGGTCCGTGTAGCTGCCAGAGACAGAGACGGGCAGGGCCCCTGGGGGCCCGACATTAATATACAAGTTCTACATCACACATCTCTAAACAATTGTTACCCACCAGCCAAAGCTGAAAGGCAGGTGTGTGTGTGTTTTCTTGTTACTTGTTTTCTGCTATAGAGTGAGGACCATCATGTTTTAACCAACAAAGTGAGGACATTTTTGGGAAGTGTGGACAATTTCCTGGTCACTGCTTTTTCAGCTCTACTGCACTCTACTAGTCAGGTAGAGTATGGTGTAAATTAGGTTCTGATTCAGGCTAGGGTTATAAATAGACTAGTGATGGTTAGAGTTAGGATTAGACTAGTAATTGTTAGGAATAGACTAGTAATGGTTAGAGTTAAGAATAAACTAGTAATGGTTAGAGTTAAAGTTACAGTGTGTAGGATTTGTTGTTTTCAGCGACATCTAGTGGTTGAGTGGTTGAATCATCCCTCCCCCCTTCCAAACACTACGGTGTCTCTCAGGTGTCAAAAACCTTTGATAATTCCAACCGCGATGTCTACCAGCAGCTTCAGGGCTAGTGATGTTTCAAGTGGTAAGATTATGAGCTTTAATAAGTAAAATTATACCAGCTATGTTTACATGCACAAAATGTTTTAATCGGATTGAAATGTATTCAGATTAAATATTCCGAATGTACTGTTTACACGGACACAATCCGATCATGAAAAGTGTTTACATGCACCGGAGTTTTATTCAGAATAAAAGTCCGGACAGGCGCAGTGTTGTAAACHTTCAGCTCTACTTCCGTGTTGCAAACATAAACAATGCTCCTCTGTGCGCTCAGGACGGACCCGTGTCAGCTTTTAATAACGGTAGAGACGCCGTTACTCCTCGGTTGAGCTGCAGGCTGCAGATGAAGCAATAAGTGCTTTTTATTTTTATTTTTCGTGAAGCAACGATTGCTGTTTGCCTCCTTTTTCATCTGTTAAGAGAGAGAGGAGGAAAAGTTCTGCATGGTGCTGCACAGCTGGAGCGCTGCTGTCCCACCAGGTGAATGAAAGTCAGCAGACATGTGCACAGGTCAGTTTTCTACAATCAGAATAAGATGGTCCGATTAAGTGTTTACATGAACGTCATTCCAATTATCAATCGGCATAACCCACCCTTTTCATTCGGATTAAAAATTCATTCGGATCGAGCTCAATCGGTTCAGAATAATCGGAACGGGCTGTTTACATGACGCATTTTTATTCCGAACGGCTGTTTAATCCGATTACTTTTGTCCATGTAAACGTAGACAAACAACAAATATTACATTTATAGTATTACAACTA